AGTGATATTTTTGTAAATAGACACTCCTAAATGATATTTTTACAAATTTGCATACAAAAAGTGGCAATTTTTGTAATTGCCTCAAAAAAACATTGTCATCTCCACCACTAAGCATAAGTAGTGGTGATACAATGTGGGTATCACTAAATATAAAATTATTAAAATTTGAGTAAAAAGAAGAAAGAGAGTGTTTTTAATTGAAATAATGAGGTGTATTAAAATATAAAATTAATAAAATTTAAATAAAGAGAAGAGATAGTGGGTATTTTTGGAGAAAGGGTATCAAATAGTTGATACTTTTGAAGAGAGAAAAAATGTGTTTTTAATAATTTTATATTTAAAGAGAGTATAAAATTAATAAAAATTGAGTAAAAAGATGAAAGAAAAAGTATAAAGTTGAGTAAAAAAAAGAGAGAATGTGTGTTTTAATAATTTTATATTTTTATCCATGTTGTATCACCGATGCAGATGCTCTAAGGCCCATTCCTTGACACAACACAACCCTATCTGTTACCTCTAGCCACACTAATGGCCAACCCAATTTCTCAATTCATTTCGATTTGACTCTTAAAAACAAAAACAAAAAATAATCATTTTTTTTTTAAGATTCCAAATTGCAGATTTCAAGAAATCATGGCTTCTTCATCAGTAACACTTTGTTCATGGATGATTCACCACAACCATCATCTTTCTCCTTCAAAAACCAAACCACTCAGATCCAGATCCCTTAAACCCATCTTCCTCAACCCAAAACGCACCGTTTCAATCGTCTCTTCCTCCATCATCACCACAAAAGAAGAAAATCTCAAATCTTCTTCTTCTTTCGATTTCATGTCTTACATAATCAATAAAGCCGAATCCGTAAACAAAGCCTTAGATTTAGCCGTACCTCTCCGTGAGCCACTCAAGATCCACGAAGCGATGCGTTACTCACTCCTCGCCGGAGGAAAACGAGTCAGACCGGTACTCTGCATCGCCGCCTGTGAACTCGTCGGCGGCGAAGAATCAACCGCCATGCCAGCCGCTTGCGCCGTCGAAATGATCCACACCATGTCATTGATCCACGACGATCTCCCCTGTATGGACAACGACGATCTCCGCCGCGGAAAACCCACCAACCACAAAGTTTACGGCGAAGACGTCGCGGTTTTAGCCGGAGACGCGCTTTTATCGTTCGCGTTTGAGCATTTAGCGTCCGCGACTAGTGAAAACGCCGTCGTTTCGCCGGTTAGAATTGTTAGAGCGGTTGGTGAGTTAGCTAAAGCGATTGGAACCGACGGTTTAGTGGCCGGTCAAGTGGTTGATATAAGTAGTGAAGGGCTGGGATTAAACGACGTCGGATTAGAGCATTTGGAGTTTATACATTTGCATAAAACCGCTGCTTTGCTTGAAGCTAGTGCGGTTTTAGGTGGGATTGTTGGTGGTGGTAGTGACGATGAGATCGAGAGGTTGAGGAAATTCGCGAGGTGTATTGGATTGTTGTTTCAAGTGGTTGATGATATTTTGGATGTGACGAAATCGAGTGTTGAATTAGGGAAAACTGCGGGTAAAGATTTGGTTGCTGATAAATTGACGTATCCTAAGATTATGGGATTGGAGAAATCTAGAGAATTTGCAGAGAAATTGAATAGCGAAGCTTGTGATCAGCTTTTAGGGTTTGATTCAGATAAGGTTGCTCCTTTGTTAGCTTTGGCTAATTACATTGCCAATAGACAAAACTGAACTAAAATCTGTTTCTTTTGTTGTCGGAATCATAGAGATTTCTGTCTTTCTCTCTCTCTCTGTACAAGATTTGAATTGTAGAAATGTTTGGGGGAGAGGGTAAGAACAGATTCTAAGACTTTGTATTTGTTTGGTGTTACTAAAAATTTTATGAATGTTAAGAGATTAATGCTTTGTAGTTTAACATATTATATACTCTAGTCTCTAAGTTGATGATGATGATGAACAAACATGTATTCGTTCGTACAGAACAGGTTTTGGGTCTGATGGATCCGCTAACTCTTTGAGATTTTTAGACCTTGAAGATTTGAATGACGTCGTTTGGCTCGTAAAGCCACTTAGCCACACAAGTCAACGAGCAAATAAGAGTTGACAAATAGAGGATTTGAGCGATTTGACCGACCGACACTTATAAAATAATTAGGGAAGGGGATCATGATGAATTAATTAATGAGAATTCCAAAATGGGCCAAGCCCATATATTGGTTCACAAATCAAAACCCAATAAGAAATATTGAGTTCCAAAGGCTTTTTCTGTTTTTTTTTTCCTTGTTATTCCAGCACAGTACGGTGAATTTGGTGAATAACAAACAAAAATATTACGATTGAATAACTAAGAAAAAATGCATATGTGGCAAAATTTAAGCTATTGGATT